GTTTAATGTAAAAAGAATCATCAAAATCTGTTTACAATTGACAAAGATAAGTATCGCGTAACATAAAAAAAGAAGATCAGCTGAATTGACCTTCGCTTTTTGAAGTCGGATAAAAATGAACGAAAAACTACTGCTAAACTACTTTATGAAGTAGATGATTATTAAATTAAAGCTCATTTACTACAAAACTGCTATTGAACTTTAGTTTTCTTCTAAATGTCTTAAGGAGGTGTTACCTTTGTCGTCACGTTTAGCAAGTGGATTGACGATCCAAATGGGTACCAAACCTTTCGCACATTATAACGCTGCACAAATGAGGGTATTTCTGAACCGAATCACCAATTGTGAAGAAATGTAGATACCGCTGGATAATAGGAAACATTATTCACTTATGAATTCCTGGTGGACTTGTGCCGACATAATTACAGGCTCTTGAGATCAAACTCGACAATTACTAAAGTTTTTAAGAAGTTGTTAAGAATAACAAACGCTTTAGTCCATTACTTGTCCGCTGTGGGTCCTATAAAATCGATAGCTCGATGATATTTTGAAGACCTCGTCGTAGTAAAAACTGTACAAAGAACATCATCACCTCTATATTATGACTCAATGATAAGTGGGCACGATTATTTTTGTATCGCAAAGATAGTGATCTAGACAAAATTCGATTTTATTTCAAAAGGAAAAACTATCATTCCGTTTGCATGTATAATTATCTCATAATTAGGATTCCGACTTTAAAGAATCCTGATTTGAATATAATGGATTTTGGTCTCGGTGGCCAATCTCAACGGAGACTGGGAATCTGCGCAGAACAGGTTATTGTGCACATGTGTGTACGCAAGCACATGTGCACTCTCTGTTCACTCACTAACAGTCCGACAGGACCGCAATCCTACACAACCGAAGATAAGTCAGACACAAGAGCAACGCCTTTAAGTGCTTTTGCGAGGTAGGATGGTGGACACCGCCCAAATTCCTAACTCCAGGCTGCTACTGAGTATTTCTTATAAGAAAAACCCAGTCACTGATTTTTGGCCCGAAACAAGCATCAAACATACGGGTTCTAGTGATTGTTTCCGCGATTGCTATCAACACGATCAACAAACGCGCTTAAGACCACTACACCAACTAGACAAATGACCAGAAAAAGATTTCACTATAATTATGTACTTGTTGTACATACAAACTTTATTTTAATTTTTAGAAGAAATTATAAAACGCTATTTTTTTAAAAACCGACAAATTTTCAGTTTTATTCATCAAATTAAATTAGGCAGCTTTTTTGACAAATTCTAAGTTAACTCTATTTCGCCCAACATGATCGAAATTGCAGAAGATAAAAGGTTTACAATAGTATATTACTTTTAAACTACTGCCTCTTTACTACCTCGTAATAGTCATAGTTGGCTGTAGGTCTTTTCCAATATTGTCTAGATTCCCGATTGAAAGAAGGACAAGCCGCTGGACGAGCTACGAGAGCGCATGCTGGACCAACTTGATGTTTTCTTGCAACATGGTAAGCTCAAGAATGTATTAGGAGTTGGGGTTGGAAGAGTTTAAGATTTAGATGAAAGAAACTTTTCTTGTTACTGATATTTAGGCTCTATTACTGCATGAAAGAAGTAGCAACCATCTCTGACTAACATCCTGAACCGCTATTTCAATCCTTTTTACTAGTGTTCCGTACCCGAAGGGTAACCAGTGGGACCATATTACTAAGCCTCCTCTGTCCATCCGTCCATCCGTCTGTCTGTCAGCGGGTTGCATGATAGTTAGACACTTGAAATTTTCATATAATGTATATTTCTGTTGCTCCGCTTCACCGGATGACCACATACAAGTGTCACATAAAACCGTTATGCGAATATTAGAAACATGACCATAGACATTATTGAAAAATGTATGAATTTATTAATGAAATCATTACTGTTATTACTTGCGTGTTCATTAACGTTAATTATAATTGTTGTTGCACAAGCATAATTATGACAACTGGCAGTATTTTGCAGTAACTGCTAACTAATGACAATTAATACTCATTCGCTGAAGATGTGACGTTAAATAGCTATGGACTATATAAGCAAATAACGTTTTTGTTACTATAATAAGACCCACTTTATGACTGAAATATATTCCCGTATTCTATAAAAAAACACCCCTGAGGACTAAGAATGACTCATATCCAGTATAAAGGGTCTCCGATTCTCTACACTCACCATACGAAACACAGAAACATTAAGGTGCTATTAAGCTGCTCTATGAGAGCGTGGTCCTTCCCGGTCGAGCCCACCCATTATATACAATCATAATATAGCCGAAGCATGGCTCTACCAGGTATAAAACTTAAAATTTATTGTGAAAGGGTAAAAATTCCTTTAACAATAAATGAAGATGCGTCATAACCTACCCACTTTTAATGTGACGATAAGATCGAACATATAGATGAACAAGAAAACTGATTATCTTTTATAACTTAGGTACTGATTTAGAGGGTTATTAACTTATTAGAAAGATATTTACGTTTTCGTGTTACGACATGTGATATTCATTTGAAATCACTGGCAATAAATTGTGTAACGTGTAAAATAGACTTGCAACGAATATTCAGCTACTATTCGGTATTCGGCTAATTTTATCCTATTCGTTCGAATACCGAATATCTAGGTACTATTCAGCCGAATACCGAATACTTGGTTTACGAGCTTTTATTGGAGTCGGATAATTGTTAAAATGAAAATATTTATATTATTATTATATATATTTTTTAAGTAATCATAGGTACATAACCAACTTCCATATAAAAGAAAAATAAAAAAGAACTATCAGCTAAATGTCTATGCACTCGAATTATCGTAATTAAAGTGGAAGATAACGCTGCAGAAAGACTAATTTTTCTTCATTTTCAGGTAGTAGTTTACTCCTTTTCTTCTCGTAGACAAACCGGAAAACAGACGTTCTGAAGAATAAACACTACTTTCTTCCCGGCTGAATACTTTTGCCTAACATTTGGCTATTTGGCCAGAAAGTCCGCAGAATATTCGGTATTCGGCACAAGTCTAGTGTGAAGCTTTCATTTGTACAAGAAAGGAGAATGGGATTTTGGGCCTGAACTTAACTAATTGGTTTATACTTTAAAAAATTGGCCATATTTTTCTTAAGTAAAATACAAAAAAATAGCTCTGTTTACTATCTAGATTTCGAAAAAACAAGAAAATAAGAAATAAGTTAGAAAATCTATTGTAGTGTATTATTTATGGCAATAAATCGTTTACCATAAAGAATATTCTAGTGAAATTCTCTTTTCTGAACGTTATCTTCCAATAGAGGACTTCTCATTTTGTAAGTTGACTTGACAGTTCAAACTTCAAACTATTTACTTAAAAGAAAAAGACAGAATTTCGATTCGATTTGAAACGAGCGCAATATAATCGATTCTCCATTAAATTTATCATTTCAATATCTATTTTCGACTATTTTTCTGTATTAACTAGGTAGATAAAAAAATTGCGTACATATCTACAAAATAATAATAAAAAAATAACAAAATATAAAAATTCCAACAAGTAACAGTTACAACAACAATTCAAGTAATCGACCTCAGATCGATATCCCTAATATTCACTTCACTTAGTTGTTAGATTTTAGACACTATACACACAATTGAAAATAGCAACAGATTGAAGATTGACCAAGATTCCTACTAACATCGCAAAAAAATTATAACCCGAAGCGAAAGAAACCAGAATTAGTATCGGTCATGCAAAAGCCAAGCAAAAACTTTGAAACAGATTATAATGAAATTAACCGTGAAATGTTCCACTTGTTGAGATTCTGAATTTTGAATCTGTAACATTTTTAGTGATGTGATCGCGTTTTTGGTACGATTTTTTTAAACGTTATACCTAAGTAGTTTACAAAAATAAATTTCACAATAACAAACATCCAGACCCGGAACAATTATTTGTAGGCCAAATAATTCTTGTTCTGTGCGGGAATCGAACCGGCGGCCCTCATATGTGTACATCTGTGATGTATTGATAAAAAATACCGTGGTCGTTTCTTTGCTTAGCTAATGTCTAACATAATTAGGTCGGTTATTACTTTATCTGCACGAATGGATGCACAGGAGCCGTTCTCGGTGAAGTACAGTTACGTTCGCCACACGTTCGTGCCATTAATACGTGCATATTTATGCGTACCGTGTCTGTTATAACGGTCCCATGGCAAGGACTCCACACTTTGTGCTGCAACAATCTGTGATTTTATGATCTAATTTTAAGGCCCCTGAGAAATATCGTGTATTACTAAGTATGTTTCGCTTTGCTTCAGTTTTGTTTAGTTTTTCGCTTTGGTTCGTTTAGTGATGTTATAAGAACTTTAATAACAATACAACTTTAAATTGGCGATGACCTGGTACATATTAAATGTAACATATTATACCAAGTAAGATGTAAGAGTAAAATACAGCGTACAAACGTCCTGTAGTTGCGCACAGACCTCATCTCGTTTCTGAGACGGATTTATAATACTTCTTGAAGGACTTTACATATTAGCGAAACAACTAACTCAAATTTCTCATACATGTAGGTTTTCTAACGATGTTTTCCTTCACCGCCGAGAATATGCTAATTCCGCTTTACTTGCAATTTATAATTTCTGTGATGCCAATGGCGACCCAACTCTGGTTGCTCATGTAACGACTGTAGAGCCAAAGAGCTGTATATTATCAACCCTATTTGAATTCAATGCCGAGGGTTACATTTTTCTTGTTCTAATTATATTCTAAGAATACTCCTTGGCCTTATTCATTATAATATTAGATTTTTATAATATTCGTTATATGAGGGTAGACTGGATTGTAACAGTTAGATAATGTGTTAGATGCCAGGCCATAAACTCCAAAAAAAAAAAGATAATGTGTTATTTTTTTTACAAATTTTACACAATATTTAAAGCAAATAACGATAATAAAATAATATAAATTATAATCTAATTACCTGAATGTTACTCCGTTTTACTTCAATATATAGCCAGTTGTCTGTTGAAAATGCGATAGCCATCAAGGCAGCAGCCACGATTGCTGTAATAGTCGCTATAGACAAAGTTACCGCTGAGCAAGGCATTTTTACAATCTTCAAGAGACAATAAAATATAGAAATTAATACGTTAGCACAATCACAACACTTATGTTTATTCGAAAAGTTCACCTATGCAGCATTTTTGTAAACACTTAACGGAACGGAGAACACGACAGCACTCTCACAATATATAATAAAAACTCATACGAATGCGGTCATCGCCTGTAAGGCTGTAACGTAACGAGTTCGCGCGCGAGACCTTGCCTACTTCAATAATCTGCCTCCTTGCTTTTGCTTTACCTTGCCTTGCCTTGCCGCTCTCTTGCGGATGTGAAACTTTCGAAAGCGAAACAACTCCTCCAAGTGGCGGGAATGTTAATTGTAAAACCGGTTTTGTAATGCCATATGTCTAAAATTTCTACTAATTTGGTAGTTTTATACTGAGATTAAAAATCAACCTTCTCAGATTTAAACTTTAATTTTCTAAAATTTATTACACACCAGATAACAATAAAATGGAAACTTCTATTTCCAAAGCGATTATAGTTGTGATATTATAATCTGCTAAATCATTATTCAAGCTATAGCTATTTTTACTTGATCTAACGTCGACACTTTATGTAGACTTTTTAGTGCTTAATAAAAGAACTAAAAAACGGAACATTTATGGGATCACCTTGTTGTTCGTCTGTCCGTCCGTCCTTCCGACTGTTTAGATCTTTTTTTCTCAGAAATGGATAGAGATAGCAAATTCAAATTAGTATCAAATACTAAAGTCCACAATGAACTCCTTTGCACCTACAAAAAAATTTAACTTCTAAGTCGACGCAACCAAAAGGTACGGCCATTTATGTAATATATCTTAATACTCGCTAGTCACTCATCAAAACCTATATACATAGGGTACTTTCTGTAGACCCAGAATCATAAGATTTATCAAGAAGCAAGGTAACAGCGCAAGTAAATAAAAAATTCAAAAATTGTAATGTTTGTTTGTTATATCACATAAAAAAATGTTTTCGATACTCGCAGACTTATCAATACCTATGGGGTACTTTCCGTTGACCTAGAATCATGAAATTTGGCAAGAAGCAAGATCCTTTAACACAAGTGAAAGGAAAAATCAGAAAACCGTTAATTTGTTGTTATATTACATAAAAATATTTTTTTCGATTAATACAAATGTACATTTACAGTTAGAGCATCGATTGTGATCATCGCATCGTAGGTCTATGTATAGAAAACCGTTTTTTTTTCCAATGCAAAATTAAGTTTTATTTCAATCGACTTATTCGTTAAAGTAATATTCGGTGTTTATCTTACCTATAACATGAATTTCTGTAAGTTAATTATTTCGGTAAAAGTAAGATTTTAATTTTGAGTGATTGATTGAAAAAATTCAATGCAAGGGGGATTCTTCCCCGGTCGATTATTCATGCTACAGCCATAATACGATAGTTACGCTGCAACGTTTCTCTTATCGTAAAATATGTAATGATTACTACTAATTTATAACTATAATTAATGTTTAATTAAGTATGTATTTCAAACAAATAATTAAATTTATAGATAGAGTGATTTTAAATCTGTTAAAATTTTTTTTTGATTTTGCTACTACTGTTTAGATTACTTTGAAAAAATACTGTTGGCAGCACTAGAAAATATTCAATCATATTTAATTGTCATTTGAGGCTGTAAGACTTTGTTATCCTTTGCCTTTTCTGATAGAGTATGGAAAAAAATATCATTTGATCTTGATCAATTGTTTACAAATATAAAGGGCCATAAAACTAAGAAAGAAGAAGAAGAAGACCCATTTTTATATTGTTTATTGGTGTTAATTCCCAAACATTAGTTTCATAGAGTAGAGTAATAGTTTATTAAAACGTGGTGATTTTGTACTGATATTCTCTTTGATTAGATTAACATAATGTCGGATAGTAAAAATATCGAGAAGTATGATGATGTACTAACGTCTATTTTAGTCAACGAAAAGTCTATACTAGGATTTTTATCTACTATCTTCAATTTTCTGGCTCGAAGGTAAGAAAGGATAGTGGTCGTCAGTTACAATAAACATTTTAAATAAATATTTGAATTACTTAATATTTCTGAATGATATATTTTTTTGATTGTATTAAGAAAATTAATATTTATAGGACTGACTTCTATTATGTACCCGAAAATAAATATGAAAATATGGGTTTCCCACCTGGCGTTGCTGAAGAACTTGTTTTGAAAGTGTTAAGATCCTGTGATCCAAAAAATTATAAAACAACCAGTGGTAAAAATAGACCTGCAACAGCAGAGATAAACAACGAAATAATGTGTAACACAGTAGCTCACGAAGTAGAGGTAGTGTCAGAAGATGATATCAGTGATACAAAAGATACAGAGGGACATGGCTTATGTAAGGATTCCCATGTGCAAGACAGTGTCAAACAACCAAATGATTCGAATAATTTTCCTGAAGATTATGAGCCACCAGTGATACCAGTACAAAAGAACAGTGAATCTTACAATGGGGCTGTTAGGGAAAACTACTCATGGTCACAGACAATTATGGAATTAGGTATGATTAAAACACAGATACAATAATTTCTCTTTTCTACTACTTATTTTAAGCATATAAATTTTATTTTGCAGATGTAACTGTTAAACTTCAACCAAACACAAAATCAAAGGATTTAAAAGTTTTTATAAATAATGGTGACATCAATGTACAATATCGAAATGGTGATGTGATTTTAAAGGATTCACTACCATACAAAATCAAGGCTAGTGACAGTGTCTGGAGTATCAGCGAAGGAAAACTTTTAATCCACCTTGGTATTGTTTTTAATTCATTATAATAAGAGGGCATTGAAACTGAAAGGAGATTGTTGAGCTGTTGCAGTTTAGCAAACTTCACATATTTGCGAAATATTTATTTTTATTTTTAGCATAGCTCATGTTAATAAATTTTATTGGAATCAGATTGGGCTTGATTGCACTTGCTAATTGCAATTTTTTTATATAAGATAAGGGTGACAAATGAGCACCCAATCCACATGATGGTAAGTGTTTGCTGCACCCTATAGACATCTACATCTATCCTCTATTTCAAATCAAAATGCAGATGCGTTGTCACCTGTAAGGACTAAGATGGAATGCCTCATTTCCAGTAAAAAGGGTCTCCGGTTCTCTACACTCACCATAGGAAACACAGCAGCATTAAGCTGCTATTTTACGCTGGTAATCTGTGAGAGCGTGGTACTATCCTGGTCGAATCGACCCAATTGTGCTACAACTATACTACTAATATAACTGTAGCATGGCTCTACCACATATTTTTAAAAATATAAAATATATTTCTGAAAACTAGATTATTGCTTATGGATACGACTTAGGGACCTTCAAGAAAAGAGCCTACTCCTTTTTAGAAGGCCGGCAACGCATCTGCAATTCCCCTGCTGTTGCAGTTGTTCATGGGCGGCGGTAGTCACTTACCATCACGTGAGCCGCATGCTCGTTAGCCCCCTCTCCTATAAAAAAAAGCCAATTGCTTTTCTGCTAAATCGCTCTCTCAACATATTTTGCAACTATTACTTCACTTTACTCAAATAAAAGATATCCTCCTTCTTATCATCATCATAGTAGTAGCATGGAGCGCTTCTATTAGTTACTATGCTTTGCACGAGGATTGGATAATTCAGTACCTTATATCCTGCACTTTTGACACCTCACCCCCCACAATATAAATCTAAAATTTAGTTAAAGTTGTTATCATCATCATAATTACAGCCTAACACATGTACACAGGCATCCTCCACAGAATGCCACAAAGTTTCACTTTGCATCTAGGGGTGGGCCCTCCTGCACCTCGAGGCTGTCACTTGAGAACCTTTCTTCACCATCTAAGCTATATTTGTTTCACAATAATTTTTGTTAAATAGTAATTTTTATATATTTTCTTCCAGATAAAGTACAGGAGCGCTGGTGGGATAGATTACTTAGTAATGAGGAACCTATTGATTTATCTAAGATTGATGCATCAAGACCTCTTGATGAACTCCCAGAAGATCATATTGCAAAGGTAAGAGATATACAACGAAAATACCTTACACAAGTGGAATGCATAATATGTTGAAATTTTGTCTTTTAACAGTTTAATTTTTATTGCATTTATCCTGTTGCACTGTTGCTTCTTTTTATCAAATACTGATATTAATAAGCCTCTGTGTAGAAGACAGACAGACATTCTCTAAAGAGTTTCTTCCTCCAAATTTCACAAAACGTAGGATATGTATGCGAAAGACTAAACATGAATTACATGGAAAATTGTAAAACTGACTTTAATATAAATTATTAAGGATAACTCAAAAACTACTGGTCAGACCTTGATCAAATTTATGTGGGACCACATGAGAAGCACCAAATTTCAAATAAAAAAGAATCATCAAAATCGGTTCACCTAGAATAAAGTTCAGGTAACACACAAAAAAAATACAGCCAAATTGAGTATCTCCTTCTTTTTGAAGTCGGTTAAAAGTAATGTCCATCTCCACTGCGATCTATTCAAAGCTCATAGTTATTCATTCATTCAACACACACAACCATAATGCCAAGTGATGCTCATTTTATTGTTAAAACTTGTGACCCACATAGTTGTATTTTATCATGATACTACTGCATACTTTCCACACTGTTATTGTATGGCAGAGTGGAAAAGTTTTATGGCCATTAGTATTCAGTACTTTTTCTTCTGACTTCCAAAAAGGAGACTGCACTCAATTCGACTGTATTTTTTTTTTATATGTATTACCTCATAACTTTTTACTGGATTTACCGAATTCGATAATTCTTTTTTTTATTTGAAAGCTGGTAGTTCTTGTGTGGTCCCATATGAATATGATCAAGGTCAAGCCAATAGTTTTTGAGTTATTCTTAATAACTTATATTGAATTTGGCTGTACAAAATTTTTAATTTTAATTGATGCATACTGCATGTGTTATATATTATACATTTCAATGTAGAACACATTGAAGTGTATAATCTGTCTGTTCACAGATAAGTTTGTCATCTGCACAGTCTTTAAATCTATCTCTCTATTTACTCTTTGGGTAATATATTTAAAAAAAATAACCAAACTTAAATTATTAATGATTGTACCTGATTGAAAATTTTCTTAATGATTAACTTATCTGAAAGATGTGTTAAATTATTATCTAACTGTTCTTTTAAAATATTTTATTAATTATAATATTTGTATAAGGGTATTTTTCATTATCTTGTAATTTTCCCATTATCTTGTAATATTTGTTGTCATGTTTTTCCAAGGTTCGAGAATTGCAATGGAACCAAGAACAAAAACTAAAAGGGCTACCAACAAGTGATGAAATTCGTAACATGGACATATTGAAGAGAGCCTGGAATGCTGATGGATCACCTTTTAAAGGCAAAGAATTTGATCCAAGTGTATTGCAATTTCAATAAAATTACTGTTTGACCAACCATATTTATTAAACTATCGCATTAATATACATTTGTAATTTTTAAAACCCAAACAAAACTAACTTTCCAATCATATGCTGTTCTTCTATGAGTCTATGAGCTTCTCTCAAATTAGCAGCATTAATTGGTGATATTGTCTTTGTTAAAGTACTCTTCAAAAGTCCATCTTCAAACATTTTTGATACAATTTTCAGAATCTCTTGATGCCTGTTTTTGTCTTCTGTGTTATATTTGATTCTTGTAAACATCATTTCAGAAACCAATGTAACACTCTTATCTTTTAGAGGTTTCAAATCCACTAAGCCACTACTATCGACTATGAGGCAAATTTTTCCTTGAGGTTTAATAGCTTTCATCAATGTATTCCAATATGGATAAGGATCATAATTTACTAAGATGTAATCAACTCCGTTTGCAAATCCATTGGCTTCAAGTTGTGGAAGGAGATCTTCAGTGTGGTTTAGAACAATGTGAGCACCATTGTTACGAGAGAATGTTTCTGTTTCAACCCTTGATACCGTACCAATTACAATAAGTTTCAAATTAGTAGCTAACTGAGTGGCCACTGAACCTACACCTCCAGCACTGTTTATAATAAGCAATGACTTCCCTCTATCTTTCTCAGAGAGCAACAGTCGATCATAAAGTGATTCATATGCTGTAACTGTCGTTAGAGGCATAGCTGCTGCTTGCTCAAACGTAAGGTTTTTTGGTTTAGGTCCAACATGTATTTCATCAAGTGCTATATACTGAGCATTTGAACCATTTTTTCGAAGGTCTCCTGTAAAAAAAACTTCATCTCCAATGTTAAATGTTTTAATGTTATCACCTTTAGCAGCAATTATACCAGCACCATCCCAACCAAGAATCCTCGGATTAGGTTCGATGTTAGGTTTAGGCGCTCTAACTTTTGTATCTATGGGATTAACTGCAGTTGCTTTAACTTCCACTAAAACTTCGGTATTCTGTAATTTTGGTATATTCACTTCCAAATCAATAAGGCTATTTATATCTGAAATAGGCAAATATTTGTAAAGCCCAACTGCTTTCATAGTTTTCGGTAAAATCTTTGCCATTGTGGAGGAAACTTCTTGAGAATTTATGCTCCAAATACATAGCAGTAGCACTTTTAGTAATATGAGGCGATGTCTATATTTTATCATTTTTCCATTATTGGCAGCATACATAATAATCTATGCGGCAATTATTGAGGCAAATTATTAAATTTCTTTAGCTATACTCCACGAAATCTAATATATTTCGAATAAGAATTCACATTTGTTGTTTATTGGAGTAGGTCAGAACACAAACACAAACAAAACACCACAATTTTTTTTTATATAACTGGCATTACGGCTCTGAGTTCTAGCCCTTCTAAGCCTGAAGTTACAATGAATAATTATCCTTCATAGTACACTGCTTCAAAATATGTTGATGCGTCACATTGTGTAGGGAAGACTTTGACGGCTACTTGAGCCAGCAGACAGCTGACAGTTGGCGATGGTATCTCAAGGCGCCAAAAAAGGGAGCCTATCAGATCGGCTTTCTTATTTGCAGCCATAGACTTAGGATATACGTATAGAACAACATAGTGTGCAAGGGAGAAGAAAATTCCTTATGGCAAAAATGCAAGAATGACAAGAAATGAAACTGTAACTGATTTTGAATGACAAGTCGGCGCGCAAGAAATAAGCTTGTAGATATTTTGTGTGTTTTTAGATTATAATAGCGTTAATTTGTATAATTTATAGTTTTCCAAAATGGTTTCATGTTCCGTAAGTGACTGTGGTATCAACAATAGAAGTAATCCTGATGGTTGCACATTTCACAGGTAAATTCGCAAGACTTCGTCAATAATAAGACACGTCTATTTTTGCTTAAAATTAATGTTAAATACTATTTAAAATATGTAATATTTTCAATTATTTTATTAATTTTGATATTTTGCAAAGAAAAAAGTCACATTGTTGATAATTTGTATGATTTTGGTGAATTCATTTTTAAACAAAATATTTTACATTTACGCTAGGGATTGACTCAACTATATCAAAATTAATGTCGATATTTATCTTTAATGTGTATAAAGAATCGATAGACAATTATACACAACAAAAAGATGAATGAAATTAAATGATCGATTTGCGTTCTAAAAACAAAATTTTATTTTGCCGTTTGTCAAACAGATCCCCTCTGGATCCTTTAGTTAGAATAAAATGGTTGGCATTAATTGGGCGGGTTGTTTGGAATCCTAAGAAGAACTCTACAATTTTGTAGTAAACATTTTATTGAGAAATATATAAGAAAAAGCAGAGTAAATACAACTTTATTAACCCTTTCGCTGTCCCGTGCACTACATATAGGTCATTGCTATTGTCTTACTATTGTGTCTGAAAACCGGACAGTGAAAGTGTTAAAAGGAGCCATTCCTACATTATTTATACCAGTAAGTATATTATTCTTACATTAAGACTTCTTTTTTTTATTTTTATAGGATGGGGTGACAAACGAGCACACAGTCCACCTGATGGTAAGTGGTTGCTGTGGCCCATAGACATCTACATCTATTCTCGTTTGCGAATCAAAATGCAGATGCGTTATCAGCCGTGAGGACTAAGATGGAATGCCTCTTTTCCAGTAAAATGCGTTCCCGGTTCTCTACACTTACTATACGAAACACAGCAGTGTTAAACTGCTATTTTACGCTGGTATAAAAATTTAACATCAAAAACTTTAGGTAAAAATAGAGATAGATTTTTATACATTTTAAAACTCTATCTCTATTATTATATATTTTCCCCTAGGGGTTGTGCGGAGCTTTGGAATATATTCCTAAGTCACAATGATAAAACTTTTAGCGTAGTTAGGTATGGTTATTGAGTAATGCTCCTGAAGTGCCACACTAGATGCCATGAGGCGTGTGATTTAGTGTACCAGGATAGTATAAATTCCATAGTATTTGATACGCGCAACGCTTGATGTCCGATTCACTACAGTGTGCCGAGGGCTTGATAGTGTGGTTCATTACCTACTGCGTTACTCATAGAGAAGAGGAACTCGTAGTTAAGTAACAGTTGCGTAGATCAATAATAGATTTGCAAGATAAAGGTGCACTTGCAGCGGTCGGTCCATGTGTGGGTGACCGTTTTCTTAACATACTGCGATTGAGAGAATAGAAGAGTGCATCTGTATCCTCGGACATTTAGTGCACTTTAATGTCTCCAGCGTATTTGGCTTGTCTATGTTAATATCAATATATTTTTTAAATTCATGCAGCTAAAATGGTAAGAAATTTATTATTACTTTATATTTTTCAGGGACAGATGAAAGAAAGAGTAGCCTCATCATATGTCACTCGTGACATAACGCCGCCACCTTTGAAATAACAAGAAAGAAGTGTTCAATTTACACCAAGAAAAAAACTTTTATCGGAAATCGAGAAATTAAAACAAAATCTGAAAAAAAACACAAAAAAAAATACGTAGCTTGGCAGCAAAAACTAAAAGACAGGCTAAAAAAAATTGTTACATTGCAATACGTGCTTGAAGAAATTCATTCAAGACCAGGATTGAAAGATCACTATAACGATATCACCATGGCATGTAGCAATGAATTGATACAGAATTTAACTAACGGGGTTAATGATAAAAAACGTGGTAAAATAGTGTCTGCATCCTAATATAACAAAGAATTACGAAAATTTGATGTCACAATACATTTCTATAGTAAAAGAGCATATAATTATTTACGTGAAAATTTTGATTTGTGTCTTCCACACGTTAAAACATTGCGTACCTGGTATGCCAGACTACACTGTGAACCTGGTTTCACTCCAGAATCTTTAAACACTATTAGAGAATTGAGAAAAAAGGAGCTGATCTAAAACTATGTCTCACTTTTGATGAAATGAGTATATGTGAATACACTGAATGGGTAGGCCAGAAGCATTATGGACAAAGTTTCATTAAACACTTCTTAAAAAATGCGTCATGAGCTCTCGGACCAATATACGCGTTTACTGCTGGTTTCTCTCGAATTTCATCGGGCGGCTAGGGTTTATGCGGTCGTTCGCGCTTCGAGCAGAGTGTTCATTATTTTAATTTTTTATTATCTCTTAACCTATGCGTCCAAATAACATGCTATAAAGAGCAAAGTTTATCTTCATAAAATTGTCTTGATGATGAAGTAACTTTCGTTCGTAAGGGTTAATATGCCATGCCTAATAATAACGCTCATAAATCACTTTTTCATTTTCAATAATTTTTTTCACAAAATAAATTATTGTGGCTTATGTATAAGAAATAGGCATGTTGCGGGTGGAAAGAAAAGGGGAGATCTCCCGCCGGGCAATGTGTTCTGCCCGGGGAGCGGCCAACGCTCCGATTGGTAGTTATGAGCTATTCTATATATGCTGCTTTAACTTCGGAACTTTGTTAGTGTGATTTAGGCTTCAATATGTTTCGCTTGTGGCGCGACGACAGCGCCGCCACAGGCATATGGTATCGCAGACTTTTTTTAGATGTAGCAAAGACCAATATTTTTGTAGAACATTGTAATTATGTAATACTAAATGTTACGCTAGCGCACGTGGATAAAGCAGTTAGAGAGCGCCTTTTCTTCCGTCTTGCTTAACAAAAATCAATATATAAGGTTAGCTGATAGTTATATGCTAGATAGCCTATACTATTCCTCATGAATCTGGCTATTATATATAAAATTTTTCAATTTGAAGTGGTAGGTCCAGAGATTAGCGTTTTTAAACAAACAAACAAAATGAACAAAATAACTCTTTCGCTTTATTATATTAGTATAGATTAAATGATTTTTTTTCTTGTTTCTGTTTCCGATTCTGTTTTATAAATATTAAAGGTAATAATTATATAAAAAATAAATCAACCATTATATACTCCGTGTCCTCGTTTTTTATTTCACCAGCAAAACATTTTATAAAATACTAGCTGTTCCCCGCGACTTCGTTCGCGTGTTAGGGTTTTTATTGTTCTGCGCGGAACCCTGATTCTTTTTCTAAAATAAAAGTAGCCTAAGTTACTCCTTATGAAATCAGCTATCTGCCAGTGAAAGTCCCGTCAAAATCGGTCCAGCCGTTTCGGAGATTACCCGGAACAAACAGACAGACAGACAAAAATTTAAAAAATTGTATTTTAGTTATAGGTATCGTATTTACTTTCATATGCATTTAGTAAAAAACTGTAATTTTGACATTACAAACAGACACTTCAATTTTATTTATTTGTATAGATAAATACTTAATTAAGTATCTATATAAATAATATAATAAATTCCGGGGAAATTGTAAATGGCATTAAATATTTTTCTCCAGAAGTCAAAAATATAACTTTCCGATCTGATTGTTGGAGAAAATTGTTTCATTTTATCGGTAGATTTACCTCGCCTCTTCAGATATTATTGCAATTTTGTACATTTTGAAATAAAATCCAACAAAAGGCAAGTGGTGTCGGTGAAAGAATTTCCACTTCCCAATATCGACCCATGTGTGTCATAAATGGCGACAAAGGGAAACTGAAAGAGGCGATGGGCAGCAGCGAAATAATAAAAAAACTGTGGTTGACAACCCGCTGGCCAAGCGATGGCAAATATCCCCCCTATGAGGCAATCTATAGGGAGGCCCATGTTGAGCAGTGGATTTTTATAGGCTGTAATGGATTATGGATGATGGAAATGGCAGGTGGGTGCAGCTTATTCCCGGTAACATGTTATTTGAATATTTTTGGTTATTTGAAAACTATCATGGTAAAAATTTAGTTAATTTTTAATAAAATAGTTTAGTGTACAAAAGTTATTCAGTTCTGTACACTAAACTATTTTTTTAGTCTTTAAACCGGTGTCTGAACAAAAATTTTTCGATAGCCCTTTTAAGTAAAATGTACATCACTAGCCAACTCACACAATAACAAATCAAAATTGGTCACACGTTTTCGGGCTGTCAGGTCGTCTATACGCCAGTATATCCTAAGCCTGCTTTGCAGCATAGAGTAGCGTATCGTCCTCACTGTGCAGAGATGGAAGAAATAGCTGACAGAAGTTCCCTTGGACAGAC